TGTTATATTGCGTCACCACGAAAATGAATACTATAGCATTCGCGTCTGTGAATGTGTTAAGAAATCTGGGAACGGTTTTAGTGAAATTATGTCGGAAAATGTTTCAGTAAACATTAGAATGCGTAGCGATCGAACACGTTCTTCGAATAAAATAATATTTGATGCACAGCTTGGTTCAGCTCGGCGTTTTCTATAAAGGATGAAATGTTAACGCACGCGTGCGGAGAAGCCATCACCTGATATTTCAATTTTAATTGCACATTATCGATTAATTAAATTAAATCGAAATTAAAATGTCTGTTAAATTAAATTGAAATTAAATTAAATTAAATCGAAATTAAAATGCCTGTTGGTTAGTTGTGAAATACCATAAATAGATTGATGTTTTTGTATGGAAAATGTAGAGACGCATATATATCTATTTAAAAAAATAAAATTGATCTTCGTATAAAAAATAACTGATTAAAGAATTGGCTGAAGTTCCGTTTGAAATATTTCTTGATATTATTAACAGATATCGAAGTATTTCGAATATACTTTATTTTCCATCCTTAGTGACTTACCTAACACGCGAAACGGCAAGTTTTCGAAACTAATCGGTTTTCGAGAGAGAAACGAAATGCGAACGAGTTTCGGGTTTCCTGTATCGCGCGCGAAAAGTTTCGAACAAGCGGATTTCGTCGAATAAAATATATATTGTTATTTTTTCAAACGAATTAACACGCAAAATTTTACCGAAACTTTTCCCGTCTAAATAACTTCTCCCAGTTTACCGAACGATTCGCTATCGAATTTTATACGTTGTTATCCGCGTTTAGTTTCGTTTCGATAGCAGCCTCGGGGAAACGCGACGAGCATTACGTTTCTCGCGGCTGGCATTTTTATCGGTTGCGAACGCGGATAAAGGAAGTTGTTTCGGGAGGAGTTCATGCGACGGGGCATTAAAAGATTTGCAGGGGACAATCAACCCTGCCTCGTAAAACGACGGGGGAGAGGAGGGGGGGGGTGGAAAGCAACGGCTGGCTTCGAGTTTTTCCGGCCATTTTCCACTCGGATCTATCTAAGCGCGTAGTTCGTCCCCGCATCGAATCGACGCTCGGTTTTTCGAGTCACCTGACTGATTCAATCACGGTTTCGACTATCGGCCAATCTTCCAACGATAGCTCCGATCGTAACCGATCTAACTTTCTGGATGAGGGCTCTTTAAATCGCTGCACGGCTCGTTTTACGTGCCAACGAAAATGTACGCTGCCGGCCGAATATATGTGCACACTTTGACGGACTTTCACGGACTTTGCGACACGTAGTGTGTTCTATTCTCATTGTTGAACAAGTTGTTTGTTTATTGAAAAATTCTTTTCATTGGGAATTATTGAGGAAGAGAATAAATTTATCTGATTGTTTTAATATTGGAGAATTAAATGACAATTTTGCGATATACCTACTGTTAAACGTGGATAGACACAGATCTATCTGTGCTCTGTAGATTCTATCACGATATGGGGCTGTTTTAGAAAGATTTATAGAAAACGAAAAGTATTTTAAGAAAAGCAGCGTAACTTAACTCGTGTTACACAAACGCATGGCAGATTGGAAAAAAAAAGATTTGGAAATTATTACGTAACGAATTGTTAAAATATGTTCACGGTATAAAGTAGAGTGCACAAAATTCCTTTCAATTTATCAACGATTTCCGAAATAAAGATAAAGAGCGAAGGAAAGAAAACATCTATCGAAACGTTGAGAATCGACGAGCTTCCGTCCGTTTCGTTGTAATTTCCTTCCAAATAACGAACGAAAGAGAGGAAAAGGAGAACGCGAAGCATCCGTTTCCTGTTGTCGATGGCGCTTCTGTTTCGCGTCATTTTCGAAAAACGTCGGATATCGTGTCGAGCGGAAATAAATAGTTGGGAGAACGCGTGCGGTTTTCGTCTGCAACGTACGGATATTTTAATCAGTGCACCGAGGAGGAAGTTTCTCGCGAAGTTGGGGCACGTATTCGTAGAAAACTGGTTTCCGCCGCGAAGTTCCATCCGCTGTTAAAACTCGATCAAGTTCAATTTTTTATTGAATTCAACGCCGGATCTCGACGTTCGATCTCGCATTCCACGTGATTTAATATGCCGCGAAAGGGTGAGAGAGGGTCGTTCAAACAAACTTCCAATACATATTTCACTTGGTTCGGTGTCAGACGGTGGCGTTGGAAGAATTATTTTGCTAAATGATACACAGAACGATGCAGCCGAACGGTGGCGAGAGTGTTCCAAAAATTACGCTGATATGCGATTTTCCCTCTGTTATTTCCTCTCGATAGCCCGCCTCCGAGGATTTATCACGTTTTCACCGCGACAGTCAGACATCAGCAATTCGAATCGAAACAGGAAGATAAAAGGAGAGAGAAAGAGAGAGAGAGAGAGAGGAGAAAAGAGTAACGACTAGAGAAGCGAGATAGACGAGGAAAAACTACATTTTGCAGCGTCAATTCCCTCTGGGACAAGAAACGCGAGTGTGATAAAATACACGTGACAAAGGATGGTTGGTCCCTCGTTAAACTTGCGATAAACAGTCGAATTGAACGAACTGCCAATGTTGTCAGACATTCTTGCGCTCTGAATCACGAGAAATTTCACCGAGTGAATTTCGGCACGAAGGATCTCTACAGTTTTCATCGAAGAATCATCAAACTTTTC